AGCCCTCGAAGCCCTCAGACTGGTGCACACGAAAGCCTTCCAAAACCCTATACAACCCAAAAAACCCGAAGAGTCTTGAGAACCCCCCAAGACCCTGAAACCACAAGAGCCCTGTGTGTAAAGCCTAGAACTTCTTGATCGCCTAAGAGACTCTACAAGAACCCTTTCCGAAACCGACACTTGAAGGTTCATGGGTACGTAGTCATAAGTAGGCTTGCAAGCCAGGTCTAGCCTTTGAATCATTGCTTTGATTAGGGTACTTACAATCATCCTACTTCGACTTACCACATGAACCTTCAAGCCAATAAACCCGAAACCCCGAACCCAAACCCCAAACCCCAAACCCTAAACCCTAAACCCTAATTTCAAGCAAGGTATGCTGCTCATCTCAAGCTCCGTCGACGGCGCGCTTCTGGCCGCCAAAGACTTCGGGAGCCTTGGACTTAAGATGACGGTTTTAGTATTTGGAGGGTTGAGGGTTTAGGGAATTTAGGGTTCAGGGCGTTCTCCAACATAGTTACCTCTTTTGTATATTTACATATTTGTTTTTGGGGGGTCTGTAATCACAATACCAAAAAGTAAGGATCACACGATTTTGCTTCACCAAGCAGCAGCAGGCTGCAGCCGCAGCCGGCGGCAAAGCGAAGGTAATCCCAATATGGGTGGTTCTTGCTCTTCACGTTCGATGTTTTGCAACATGCATCAAGCATGCCAACGCAGCAGAGCAACACCAAAACCTTGAACATCGCTTGACAACACAAACCCTAAACTCCAAACCCTAAACCCTAAACCCTAAACCCTAAACCCTAAACCCTAAACACTGTTTCAGCCCTAAGCCGACTCTGAGGTTCATCGTGACGCAGCAGGTGACCGTGGTAACGCTGCAGCTCCTGCTGCTAAGGACAGCGGATCGCTCCAGCTCAGGGGTTTAGGGCTGTTCAGGGTTTTGGGGTTTAGGGATTAGGGTTTAGGGTTTAGGGTTCAGGGTTTAGGGTTTAGGGTTTAGGACGTTAGGGCGTTCCGGCCATCGAGTTGTGTGGTGGGGTAGTGATACCGAAGTGCGCTCGCTAGTTTTGTTGCAGACCGCGTGTTACCAAGCACACAACACCGCGAGCGGTGAAGCCAACGGTCATGCTGTGCATCCTGCTTCACCGCAGGACCGCTTTGCACATGAAGCTCGGCTTGTGCCCTGGAAGGATTAGATAGCTTCGGGTTTAGGGTTTAGGTTTTAGGGCTTAGGATTAGACAGCTTCGGGTTAAAATGGTGGTTTCCGAAATTGGGGGTACCTTATGGGGGTCCTAACAAAAGGGAATCGTTCTCTTTGGTGTGTATGTTAGGGGTCCCTATTTTCAAGAAAAGAAAACATATAGCTTGCCGGGTTGTGCGTTCCTCCTGTGCTGCCACCGTTCTCCTTTTCCATCATGTTTCGCCTTTGTCGCGCTCTGCTCCATGCTCTCCCCCTGAGCTTTTAGGGTTTAGGGTTTAGGGTTTAGGGTTTAGGGTTTAGGGTTCAGTTTTTAGGGTCTGCACTTGCACTTCTTCCCCAACAACCTGAGGCCAGCCATTTGGATGACCCTGGCGGTCCCTGGGCTGGAAAAGCATCGACGCTCCCCCCCTCCCACCCTCGACGGCAGTTTTTGTTTTTTGAAGTCGATCTCTCGAGGGCTTCTTGGGGCAGACGTCGCCATGCTAGCTTCACACTTGCCTTTGCTTCTGACTACCTCTGCCCAGAACCTGAAAGCAGGTTCCCCTTAAACCGGGCCGGCCCTACGAAGCTAGTAGGGTGTAGATTTGCTTTAGACCCCCCCAAAAAAAAAATCCCTATATATTACCCTTATAAGGAAGAATATGGTTTTTAATTTTTGGGGGACTTCTTAAGCAATTGCTAGTCAACCCGCCCAATCAAGGTGCGGGTCATTCTCTTCGTGCCCGTTGCCCTGACCTGGCTGGGAACAGGACACGGCCCGCTCGGCCGTGTGCTCTTCCCCAAGAAAGGAGCTCGCCCGGCGTGACTGCTTGATCCGCGGGGTGCTGAGGCCTGCAAGATAGACTACGTAGTTTAGGGTTAGGGTTTAGGGTTTAGGGTTTAGGGTTTTAGGGCCCAGAGTAGGACCCTTATTCCCTTCTGTATGGTTTAGCTTCCCTGATAAACGCCTTTAAACCAAAATGGGCACCCTTTTATTTTGTAGTTTACTCCTAGGTCTGGTAGATGCAGGATAGATGCAAAGACTTGTTGGGTGCATTCGTGCATCTATTTTTACATCTGATATGCCACTGTCTCATGGTTGAAGGTTTGACAATTCTTTGTGCCATGTTTTTTACATCCCTAGAGCAAAGCCGAAGGGTTCAGCTCGGGTGGTTAAATTTAGGATTAAGGGTTCAGGGTTCAGGGATTAGCAACCACGCAGAGAAATCTTGTTCTGGGTGTTGCACGCGTGTACTATCTGAGGGTATGATTGGTAGACATGAGATGAAAGTGGGAGCAGACATTCCATAAGAGCCCGAATGCAGCC